GGCGATCGCAATAATTTGATGAAAGCAGTTAAATGAAGAACACGAAATGATCATCAAAATTTGTGCACTAACTCCCAGTAACTCACTACGCATCTGTTTTAAAACAAACAAATTAAGGCAAAACCACTGAGCACACAAACAAACAATACGAACTGCTCACTGATTTTCGTTCCATTTATTAGGAGAGTGCTTATCGTTAGATATTGTTGGATTTAGACAATGATCGAACATTCAGTCCCGCATAAAGTTGGATGTCGCATAAGACTGAGGACAACTTCAAAGAGCAAAATACCGCAATTCTCACAATCAGAAGATCACTTTCATTCATCATCGTCGCTTACAGTCGACGTAAGCATAAGCATTGAGATGCATTTGCATTGAAAATAATGCACAGCTTTGTGGGTATGTTTTAGAAGTTGAAACTGACGTGTGTGAACGTCATTTTTATATTGTGCTGCACGATCACAATTTGTTGAATGCATCAGTGCATAATCTCATACAATATTTGAATGGGTGTAAACGATTACGTATTCCATTCATTCATCTTATTTATGTTTGTAATCAATCATTCAAAAGATGACTAACAAAATTATAATGTATGCGGAGATTATATGATTTATAAAGAGGAGAATCGATGAAAATTGATTAAAATGTCAGTGAGAAGGAGGAATAAGATCGTTAGGGTTACGCATAAACCAATTGCAACATTATCTATTCGTTCCGCACTTCAATCAGCAAGTGCCGAATCAGTGTGCATTTTGACCGCCTCATGGGACCTTAGACTATTTGATAACTATAGAATGTATATTTCAGTAAGCGTTTATCCCTTTTTGCATATAGATAGATCCTTCTTTCCTTCGCCCGTCATCCGTATCAATGGTGACATGATCATTCATTGTATTTGTACATATATTCGGCAAACTTAAATGCAAACGAACACTAACCTAGCGGCACCTCCGTAGGCATGAGCAACATAAAATTACTTCAGCTCTTTGCTCGTCGAAAGCATGTGAATTTTCAAACTCTCGCATCAGAAAATACTGCAACGTATGTCAACAAAGAACAAAATTTTTAACGTCTGTAGAGAGCAATACAAATAGGCGTCATTAATTGAACAGCCTGAGCCGTATGCATGTTCTAAAAAANATTTCTATCATCAAATCAAAGGTAAATTGCTTAGTCAATGTGATGATGCCAAAAATTTCCAACAGTAGCTCAAAAATTGAATTTTTCTGCATCACCGTTCACCGTGTTCACTCTAATTTCACTGTTTCACGTTGTTGTCATTGTCATTGTGAGAGTGCCGGTTTTCATGCCAACTACTCGACATACGTTGACAAATACTTGACTAAGACTGGCCATAATCCGCTTGAATCATCTAAGCACTGCATTTGAGATGAGTTGTGATCAAAGCAAACAGATACAATTGATTTATTCGTTTCATATTGCTATAATGCAATCAAAACAGTGCAAGCAGAAAATGAGTAGTCAATTCAAGCTTTTTTATAGCTACCAGTGGGACCGAAACCACCAGTAAGGACTTTATCTTCTGAGCTTTCTCCGGTTTTGTCTGGTGGAACGCCATAACCACCAGCTCCACCGGCTCCACCGGATTTTCCTCTTAATTTTTTGTAGTTACCACTGGGACCGAAACCACCGGTAGGAACTTTAACTTCCGAACTTTCTTCGGCTCTGCCTGATGGAATGCCATAACCACCAGCCCCAGAACCGGCTCCACCGGGTTTTCCTCCTGATTCCTNCTTTCTTCGGCTCTGCCTGATGGAATGCCATAACCACCAGCCCCAGAACCGGCTCCACCGGGTTTTCCTCCTGATTCCTTTAGTTTGCCACCTTTGTGAGTGACTGTCTCTTTTTCATCATTTTCAGTTTTATGCACTCGTTCTCCACCGCTTATCTTCCTACCTCCTTTAGATGCTCTTCCACCTCCCTTTCCACTACTTACTTTGTCATTACCATGCGCTTTACCACCGTTCTCGTTTTCGTTTCCCTCGCCCGATTTTGTTCCATCGTTTTCAAAATGATTTTGCGATGAACTTTTCTCTTCGCTGCTTTTGCTACCAGAGCTGCTCGAAGTTTTCTCATTTTTTCTTCCGCCTCCTTTGTGGCTCTTTCTTTCTTCACCACTGCTTTCACGCTCGGGACACGGACAGTACTAAAAATGGAAGAACCGTTCAATTGATCTGTTTAACAGTCGATTTGTGGAACGTAGAATTTTGTGATACTGTCAGTTGAATCATTTTGTTCTTGAATGAT